CTTTCTTTCATTTTTTTTTTTCTGAGGAGAAAAGTCTGTTGTGGGGGCCAATTGCAGTTTGTCTGAAAGGTAGCAGAGCCCTCTTATTTCTTGCTGTATTTTAAAGTCCCCCACCCCAATTTTATACAAACTTTTCAATTTATTTCTGTGAGTGAAAATTTTCAGGGCTCTGTTTATCTTTCTTTTTTTCCCCCTTTCTTTCTTCTGTGTCATTGGCAACTTGGCCTCTTTCCCAAAACGAAGGCACTACTCAGGGGAGGCCTTTCAGAGGTCTCTCAGTTGCCAGGGACTTAAAGACCTATTTAGCATCAGAGTTCAACGTCTTCTCTGTATTGTTGGTTCTAAACATCTACTCTTATGCTTCAGACCTTCTAAAATCTAGCCTGGTATCTCTCTCTCTCTCTCTCTCTCTCTCTCTCTCTCTCTCTCTCTCTCTTTTAATTTATTATATTTTTTTTTAAAAAAAATACCCATCCAAGTTCCCACTCCCTCCCGCCCTCCCATTCCCTCCACACACCCTCCCACCCCACCCCCATCTAATCCTCAGAGAGGGTAAGGCACATTGCCTTGTGGAAGGTCCAAGGCTCTCCCTACTACATCTAAGCTGAGCAAGGTGTCCATCCAAAAAGAATAGGATCCCAAAAAGCCAGGATAAGCAGTAGGAATAAATCCTGGTGCCACTGCCAGTGGCCACTCATTCTGCCCCAGCCATGCAACTGTCAGCCACATTCAGAGGACCATGCTGTCTCTTAACAGGAATTCTAACGGGCATCTAATGATTTCTGTAGCACAGATGGGTCCCTTCCTAGCCTTTCCTTCCAGCCTTGCCTTCTTCAACTAGACACTGTTTAGTTCATGCTCACTGTTCTCGTTTCTCTGCCACCCACGCTGCTGTCTCTGCCAGCGGCAGGGATCTGCCGCCATATCTTCCATGGCGGTAACACTGCTCCCCTCTGTCCTGCTCCTCACAGAGGTCAGAGATGTCTGGTTAGAAGCTGTGCCGGGCGGGATAGCTTCTCTACACAAGTCAAAGCCCAGGCCTAGGAGACCCTAGTTACGTCCCTCTGCCTCTCTCCCCTGGCCTGGCCTGTCTAACAGCTCTTGACTTTGTCTTCACTTCCAGCCAGCCACTTTGCCCAGGTTAGTTCTCCCCAACTATTCCAGACTGGTTGCTACAGGTGCGGTTATTGTTCTTTCTTCTAGAATGCTACTATGGATATCTGTCTGTTTGCCCCCTTTCTCTGTTCTTTTCCACAGCAGTTAGTATTTCCTAATGTCATCATTAACATTTACTTTGCTTTCTTTAACATAGAGACTCTGTGTGTGTGTGTGTGTGTGTGTGTGTGTGTGTGGCGGGGAGAGAGAGAGGGGGTTCATCAATGTCTTAACCATTGATCAGACACTGAGAAAGTTTGTATTCAATAGTACTGTGCTTTGAAGGATTTATAAGACTTTCCTAATTTCAGAAACACATTTTGCTTGCATGCCAAGACAGACTGGGTTTGTTAGTTTTGCAGTATGCGTGTATGTGCATGGTGGCTGTTTCCCTAATACTGTGGCAAGAAGGGGCTCCTTTCAATCCCTCCTCATTTTCTCTCTGGTCTCCAAGTTCAGGTACATTATGCAGTTTCTTCTTGATTTATTTAAGTCTCTTAGAGGGAAAGGATTCAGCACAGAATAGTCCAAGTTTCTTTCCTTGTTGGGTCCCCAGAAAGGTTGGCAATATTATTCATACCATTCTTACCTGTGCACGAGTCTGCTCACTTTCTATTTGTTTTTAAAAGAGGAAACAAAGATGATTCTTTTAAAGTACAACCTTTGGTATCATAATGGCTTACTCTGCCCATGTTTTGGTTGTATTAGGAAAGTATCATAGAAAGACTGATAAGTTTTTATTTCTGTAGGAACGAGTATACTTTATACTTTAGAAAGGCCAAGAATAAAGTTTTCTTTGTTTAAGCTTGATGATTTAAAAATTGTTTAAAGATATCATCTATTCTGTGGCTATACACAGCCCAGTGGTAATATGTTCCATTAATACTTCCTCATAATATTCTTATTACTTGCAGATATGTTGTTCTAATGAAGAAAAAGAACTCATTTTCTATGAGATGCTTCTCAGATAGTAGCAACTTTATTTCCACTTCAGAGCTCAAATTCACAATTTTCTCGAGCTTACACACTGTTTTGCAATTAAGCTGAAGGGCTGACTTCTCATTTGAATATCCCTTATTTTCTATGATTATATCTTATAAACACTTCGAGCCAGGCGCAGTGTTTCTAGCAAGTTGTCACAAATGACCCTGAAGTCCAGGAGAAGGAACAGTTCTAATTTAGAGGCGACAGCAAAGGCTACCACTGAAAAGAGAGTTACAGACTGAGGATCCCTTATTTTGTCACAATTTGAAATAAGGGGCATGGAATTATTCACAAGAGAGTTGGTGACAGTTGGGGAATCCCTTCTGGGGCTGTGAAAAGGCGGCAGTCTGAACGAGTGACTTTGTAGACCTGGAAGTTTGGCTCCATTGGTTAAGCTGACGAGGACATTGGTTAAGCTGTGGCTATTGGCCATGTGATGCTCGGAACCTACAGGCTGCTTTAGCTACCTTTTTATTGGACTATTTGCTGTTAGCTAAAGCAAGAGGCACTTCTAACTTTCCAAGTACTTGGAGAGCCCATTGCTCACCTCAGAGGGCAGCTTTCTTTTGGCCCCTTAGATCCCAAGGCCATTAAGCCCGTAAGACACAGCGTTGCACCCAGTGATTGATGTCATTCGAGTGGACTATTTGATGCAGCAGTTCTCCCAGCAAATCCAAATGTAGCGGTCGATAATCACACACTTAACTGCCGCCCTCTAGCCCTGCAGTGTGCTTCGTAATCGCCATGGAAACGCTCTGGACCATCTCTCCTCCTACATATTTCTTCTCCATTCCTGGAGCTCCTGTTGATGCCGGTGAAAGCTCCTGGCGCCGAAGGTAGAACGAAGCAGCCTACATAGCACTCAGAGATTGATATTTGCCTGGCTTCTGAACTAATCAGCAAAAAGCGCTCCTGAGTCTCCTCCCGGGAAGTTGGACCACGTTACTAGTCTTAATTTTGCGGATGAGGAAACTGAGGTTCAGGAGCCTCCCAAGTGATAGCGGATTTTTTTTTTTAACAGAGGAAATACAGTTACCTCTTAATGACCCCAAACTAATGCTTCACAAATGGGTGTCTAATGGGTAATAGTGAGCGTTTTTGCTTGCTCATTAAAAATTGCATTGGGTAGAGACACTCCAGTCAGTGGGAAATGCTACTATGCCACTGCCACAATTCTCTGTTTTAATCTGAATCTATCTATCTATCTATCTATCTATCTATCTATCTATCTATCTATCTATCTATCTATC